AAACCAAACCGTTTCAATCGGTTTGAGAAAAACTCAAACCTAAACCAAACCGTTTTGACCGGTTTGAAAAAAACTCAAATCTAAATCTAACGGTTTAGTCCGGTTTTAAACTGCCGATTTTGTGTATATTATTTTGCCTGTCTAATGTCTACTTTTACGTCATTAATTTAATATATATTTATATCTTACTGACAATAAATCTAAAATAAACTAAATATATCTACTATAAATTTAAATACCAACAAAATCAAAGTAAAATCACAATAAACTAAAATCACAGTCATATAATTCCAGAGACAACTTAGACGATTTCCATGTTCAAGAATCAAGAACACGAAACTATGTAACGAAAATCACAGAATTTCGAAAATAGAAATAATCCACAGGTCACAAAAAATCACGAATTTGAGGATTTTCAAGAGTCGAGATGACAAACTATGTTTAGTAATAACTTAGATGGTTTTCATGTTTAAGAATCAAGAACACGCTGCTATGTAACTAAAATCACAAAAAAAAAAAAAATCATAGAACTAACCCACAGGTTACAAAAAATCACGCAACCTTGCAACGAAATTGAAGGCTATCAGTTGTAACTGACCGTAGACTACCGCGACCGTCGCTGGCAACTGAAAATTCTGACCTTAGACTACCGACTATTTGAGGAAAATTCAGGAGCGAGAGAGAGAAATGGAGGTTAGGGATTAGGGTTGTGCTTGTGAAAGTTTGAGTTCCTTTATTCTTTTAAAATTAGGATAGCGGGTCCGGTTGGGATTTGGGCGGGTCGTCAATCGTAATAACTAATAGGAAATTAGAAATTGACAAAAATACTAACAAAATGACAAAATTATTGAATATACAAAATTGGAATTTCGGATAAATTTTCAAAACAATTCAATTTTTTATTTTATATATTTTTTCGGCGGTCCGGTTTGGTTTTAAACCAAACCGTTTTTGAGCGGTTTGGTTTGGTTCAAAATCATTTTGTTGACGGGTCCACGTGACACCAAATCGTTGATTCGAAATTGCGATTTCAGTTCGATTTTTCGGTTTGGCGGTTTTTGCTTACAGCCCTACACTGTGCCCATTGAATACAGCGAGTATCTTAGAATATTTTGTGTATATATTATGCCCTACTAGAACTAGTCTTTGTAATAATTATTTTTTTGGATAATGTGAGGATAAAAAATAGGAATTTTGTTTTTTAGATTGAAGTGTAAAACTATTTTATTGGAAGAATGTATAATTGAAAATGAATTTGAAAATAAAATGAAATTTTATAGAATGCGCTCAAATAGTGGCTTAATAGATGCATAAACGTTCTAGCACGTAGCAAGAATATTACGTTGACAAGCATTTTCACTAAGCTTCAAAAAATTACTTATTAGCCCCGGGGCACATCCAAGTTGGTGGAACGATTGCATTTGTGGACTCGCAACCCCAATGTGGAGAGTTCGATTCTTGGAAGGCACGAGTTTTGGAAGGGGGATTTTCTCGAAAGCAAGGCAATGACTAGAAGGCAGTGAAGACAGCTCTCTTGGGGTCAAGAGTATAAGTGGTGAAGGAACCTGAGAGCCAACAAGAGCATAACCCACGGTTTACCTCCTCGAGTCGATGAGGGGCCGGTGACTAGAGGTCCAGGATTTAGTCCGGCTAAGTTGAGATACCTGGGTATCAAAAAAAAAAAATTACTTATTAATTCTGTTGACTTGTAAGTAAAGATCTTTTATATTGACTAATGTTTAAATTACTTATCTTAATAATAATTTAGTACTAATTCAATGCATAAATTTTAATTAAACTTTGATAGTTTTGAAATATTAAAGAACGATGTTGATTTTATGGAATGTTATACGTTGAATATGTCAAAGACCCAACGAGGAGTTCTACATCAAGTGGGTCCAGTTATATTCTACTAATTTAGTACCACTAACGCTAAACACCATTTAGAGTGCACTATATAATATATTCAATTAAAACCAAAATTTTATAGTCCGTGTTTGACACGGATTAAAATTAAAATTTTAATTAAAGTCAACAATTAATTTAAATCACATAATTCATGGGTACCACAATTTTTCAACCACACATTTTATCAATTTTTATCAAAATTTACTAAAAATTTAATTTTAATCCACACCAAATAGTGACTTAATGCCATCTCGACTAGTGTGATAATATCGTGTGTGAAATAACATTACTAAATAAGTAAATATATTCATGGTCTGTGCCCATTCAGTAAGTCAAGTTTTGCAGAAATTAGTGACCACATTTTGGCATATGTAATGTGTCCTACTTGATGGACTCTGTGCCTCTTAGAATATTTTGTATTATATATTATGCCCCACTCGAAATTGACATATCTTGTCAAAATAATTATTTACGATTTAGTGTTATTTTCAAATCATTATTACTAATTCGACGGTCCGGTTTGACTTTAAATCGTAATTAAAATTCTCAAACCTAAACCAAACCTTTTTTTAGCGATTTGGTTTGGTTCAAAATCATTTTGTTGACGGGTCCACATGACACCAAACCGTCGATTTCGACATTGCGGTTTCGGTTCGATTTTTCGATTTGACGGTTTTTGCTTACAGCCCTACTCTGTGCCCATTGAATACGGCGAGTATCTTAGAATATTTTGTGTATATATTATGCCCTACTCGAACTAGTCTTTGTAATAATGATTTTTTTGGATAATGTGCAGTTAAAAAATAGGAAACTTTTTTTTGGATTGAAGTGTAAAACTATTTTATTGGAAGAATGTATAATTGAAAATGAATTTGAAAATAAAATGAAATTTTATAGAATGCGCTCAAATAGTGGCTTAATAGATGCATGAACGTTCTAGCACGTAGCAAGAATATTACGTTGACAAGCATTTTCACTAAGCTTCAAAAAACTACTTATTAGCCCCCGGGGCACATCCGAGTTGGTGGAACAATTGCATTTGTGGACTCGCAACCCCAACGTGGAGAATTCGATTCTTGGAAGGCACGAGTTTTGGAAGGGAGATTTTCTCGAAGGCAAGGCAATGATTAGAAGACAATGAAGATAGCTCTTTTGGGATCAAGAGTATAAGTGGTGAAGGAACCTGAGAGCTAATAAGAGCATAACCCACGGTTTATCTCCTCGAGTCGCTGAGGGGCCGGTGACTAGAGGTCCAGGATTTAGTCCGGCTAAGTTGAGATACCTGGGTATTAAAAAAAAAAAAGAAATTATTTATTAATTCTGTTGACTTGTGAGTAAAGATCTTTCATATTGACTAATGTTTAAATTACTTATCTTAATAATAATTTAGTACTAATTCAATGCATAAATTTTAATTAAACTTTGATATTTTTGAAATATTAAATAACGATGTTGATTTTATGGAATGTTATACGTTGAATATGTCAAAGACCCAACGAGGAGTTCTACATCAAGTGGGTCCAGTTATATTCTACTAATTTAGTACTACTAACGCTGAACACCGATTTAGAGTGCACTATATAATATATTCAATTAAAACCAAAATTTTATAGTCCGTGTTTGATACGGATTAAAATTAAAATTTTAATTAAAGTCAACAATTAATTTAAACCACATAATTCATGGGTACGACAACTTTTCAACCACACATTTTATCAATTTTTATCAGAATTTACTAAAAATTTGATTTTAATCCACACCAAACAGTGGCTTAATTTATCTCGACTAGTGTGATAATATCATGGGTGTGAAATAACATTACTAATTCTATTGATGGTATGTGCCCATTTAGTAGTTAGTACGTCAACTTTTGTAAAAATTAGTGACGACAGTGCCCATTTAGTAGTTAGTACGTCAACTTTCGTAGAAATTAGTGACCACAGTGCCCACTCAGTAGTTAGTACGTCAACTTTTGTAAAAATTAGTGACGACGGTGCCAATTTAGTAGTTAGTACGCCAACTTTTGTAAAAATTAGTGACCACAGTGCCCACTCAGTAGTTAGTACGTCAACTTTTGTAAAAATTAGTGACGACAGTGCCCATTTAGTAGTTAGTACGTCAACTTTCGTAGAAATTAGTGACCACAGTGCCCGCTCAGTAGTTAGTACGTCAACTTTTGTAAAAATTAGTGACGACGGTGCCAATTTAGTAGTTAGTACGCCAACTTTTGTAAAAATTAGTGACCACAGTGCCCACTCAGTAGTTAGTACGTCAACTTTTGTAAAAATTAGTGACGACAGTGCCCATTTAGTAGTTAGTACGTCAACTTTCGTAGAAATTAGTGACCACAGTGCCCGCTCAGTAGTTAGTACGTCAACTTTTGTAAAAATTAGTGACGACGGTGCCAATTTAGTAGTTAGTACGCCAACTTTTGTAAAAATTAGTGACCACAGTGCCCACTCAGTAGTTAGTACGTCAACTTTTGTAAAAATTAGTGACGACAGTGCCCATTTAGTAGTTAGTACGTCAACTTTCGTAGAAATTAGTGACCACAGTGCCCGCTCAGTAGTTAGTACGTCAACTTTTGTAAAAATTAGTGACGACGGTGCCAATTTAGTAGTTAGTACGCCAACTTTTGTAAAAATTAGTGACCACAGTGCCCACTCAGTAGTTAGTACGTCAACTTTTGTAAAAATTAGTGACCACAGTGCCAATTTAGTAGTTAGTACGTCAACTTTTGTAGAAATTAGTGACCACATTTTGGCATATATATATATATAATGTGTCCTACTTGATGGACTATTCTGTGCCCATTGAATTCGACACTATAAAATATCTTAGAAGATACTGTGTTTAAACCATGCCCTACTCGAACTAGTCTTTGTCCTTTTTTTTTTTGGTCTTTGTCCTTTTTCTCCCCAACTTTGTACTCTCTCCATAGAAAAGTCTGTTTATTTGTATTATATATATATTATTTTATGGCTTTTAACTGGTTTGTGCGGGTCTTGAATGGAAAGACGTTAATATATATAGTTACAAGTAGCTGAGACTTTAATCAGAACATCTACATAATTCCTTGAAAGTTTTCAATCATGGCATTCCACTCCTATTTCTTTTTCACTTTGTTAATTTCTTGTAATGTGATTTCTCTCATTGATGCCAGCAATAATGGCATCACAGTTGACCTCATTCATCGCGACTCTCCTCTTTCACCGTTCTACAACCCCAATATAACGCGATTTGAGCGTCTAAGAAACATGTTCCATCGTTCAATTGCACGTAAAGCATCCCTCAATCCAACCTCAATTTCCACAACAGACTCATTCCAAGCACCCCTAGAGCCCAGAGGAGGAGAATACCTCATGAGAATCTCCATTGGAACACCACCTGTCGAAATCCTAGCCATTGCCGACACAGGCAGTGACCTACTGTGGACAAAATGCCTTCCTTGTAAGAATTGCAAACAAAATGCACCACTTTTTGATCCCAGAAAATCATCCTCGTACAGGCATCTGTCCTGTCGGCCTAATAAACTACGGTATGGTCCCGAAATTGACACATCTTGTGAAAATAATAATTTACGATATAGTGTTACCTATAGAGATCATACTTACAGTAAAGGTTATTTATCTGAGGAAACTATTAGTCTTCAATCGAATTCTGGAAAATCAGTGCCTTTTAAGGTCGCGTTTGGCTGTGGCACTGATAATCATGAGATTTCCGAAGATGGAATTATTGGCCTCGGAGGTGGAGATCTTTCACTTGTCAACCAATCGTATAAATCCACTGATGGAAAATTCTCCTACTGTTTGACTCAAATTGATGAACCTTATTCTCCAAGTAAGATAAGCTTTGGTAGAAAAGCTTTGGTTTTAGGGCCAAACGTTGTGTCCACTCCCTTGATAAAGACATCTGATGATACTTTTTACTACTTAAATTTGGAGGGTGTTACTGTTGGAACCAATAGATTAAACTACGGAAACACCTGCGTCCACGATCAAGGCAACATTATTATTGATTCCGGGACGACGTTAACTTACTTCCCCGTGCAATTTTATCAGGAACTTGAATCAGCGCTCGTAGAAGTTATTAAAGGGAAACGTGTTATGGATCCACTAGGTTTATGCGAGTTGTGCTATCGAACCAAGCGCGAGGATTTTGTTGCACCAAAAATTGTGGTTCATTTCACTGATGCTGATTTAGAGTTGTCATCAACAAGCACATTTCTTGACGGAGAAAATGGGACGCTTTGTTTAACCATGGTGCCATCTAATGATTCAACCTATATCTTCGGGAACTTGAATCAGATAAATCAACTCGTAGGATATGACCTTGTTAATAACAAGGTTAGTTTCAAGCCAACTGATTGTTCCAAGTTCCATTGAAGACTTTGTTTTCTTGTCTTCGTAATAAATGTTTTCTTATTTAAAGTTCGTAAAAGTGAATTTGTAATATGTTTTATAGTAATTTGCAATTAAAGTTACAAAGACAACAATCCCCTTTCGTTCCGCAAACTTTATCAGATTTTGAGATTTGTGAAAATGCAATCTCAAAATTATGGTAATTACAATTTCATCAATGATTGATCTAAAAATGATTTAGCTCACCCTCAACTCTAAATCCAATCCAGTTCTTAATTTTAGCTCATACTAAAATCTATTTCTACTTCCTTCCTAATTTTGGCCCTTTACTAATTTGAAAGTCTATGTTTCATATATTTAGAGCAAGAATGCAAAGAACACATCCAAATACACGTAGATAAAATGCAATTTAAAGTAGTTGCACATTGGTATTCGATTTCCATTTCTACGTTCCAATCAAACTACCATAGTGGAATTCGTTTTTATCAGGTATGACATTTTTCGTGAAATTCGTTACAATCAAACATGACCTAATTGCAACCATAGAACTAATTGTAATCATACTCTCAAATTTTTTTTTAAAAAAAAGTGGAAATGAGTCCAAATCATTTATGAAAAAATCAAAAACAAGAAAAATAAAATCATCATCTCCTTCCTCATCCCCCTCTCCAAACCCCCATCTTTACCTTCAAACCCCAAACCAAAGCAAATTGATGAGTGAAATAACCAGAAAATATACCTTGAATGCTCAATCTCCTCAAAGAATTTGCATTACAGAATTCATGTTGTAGGATGCGTCATTGTTGATGAACCCCCGCCCCGCTGGAATAGTACTCTAGAGACCCTCAACCAATTACCAAAGCTGCGAATAGAAATGAAGTCATTGTACTTGTGTAAAATTAAAAAATTTCAAGCTTCAGAAAATGGAGATTCATAAGTCGTAATTAGGCCTAAACTTTTCCAAATTCATCGTACAGAAGAATGTCTTCACCTGTTACATCTTCTCCAGCCTGAACCCTTGCAATGCCAATGCAAGAGTACAAGGAATTTATTATGAATAGGCTCAAACGACGAGCCAATTAAATCAACAAAAATGGACAGAAACTTAAAGAAAACTTGAAAAAGAATGAACTTCGATATAATTTTGCCCCAAGGCAATAAAACCATAAACCCATTTGAACTTCTGTCACCGGAAGAAAACACTGTATGAAAAACGGAACCAAAGTGTCCAAGATACAGATCCGGGCACTCAAACTATAATCACTAAAGATGACATCAAAATCAGCATTTCAATCACAATGAACACCCCAACACTTCTCAATATACAGATCACACAAGAAAATAATTACATTGGGAAAGTTTGAAAGATCGAAAGACTTTCAGATTTCAGAGTGAGAAAGATGCGAGGAACTTCAGGAGCCAGAGAGAAGAAACCCGAATGAATTCCAATCTCAAACCTAGGCAATGAATGAAGTAAAGAAACCACAAGATCAGCCAATCCAACGGTCAGTGGGATTCACACTTGGCAACATCTTAATCAGCATTGGAAGAGTCAACAATCAGCCAAGTCAAACATTTATCAAGTGATCATCATCGTGCCACGTTCCTCACAGAATTATCTTCTATCTTCAACTGCTAATATGCAACACGAACCGAGCTACATTGCCAGGGGGGGAGTGACACCCCCCCCCCGACAGATCACTCACATTGGGGGGAGGTGACTTTTTTTTTCATTTTTTATTTGGCCGGGCCCCACGTCGGTCCCACTCTCTTGTGAGGGTCGGTCATCCAAGTGGGCAGCCGTCTTCTGGCAAAGGAGCAAAACTCATCACAGATGTCATCAGTAGTAGCATTTTCATGTAGGGAAGTGAGATCCTTGATGCGAGAAATTAATATCCTGACAATGAGAAGATGATTGCTTTACAATGAAAGCGAAAGGGAAATTAGAAATGGAATTGCCAATGGAACTAAGATTGAAAAAGTTCGGGAAGTGCTCAAGATCATGCATTCATTTTAACAAAAATGATTGAAATTTTCGATCAAGCGTTTGTAGTTTGCGGAAGAAGGATTTAATTGATTGAGTTTATTTTATATAAAGTTTGTTTTACCAAAAAAGGGATCAAAATTAGGTTTCCCAAAAAATGGACAATTTTAACAAATAATTATGTGGTGGTGACGGTTGTTGGGTTTTACGGTGGTCAGTGACAGTGATTTTTGCTTTGATTTGAGGGAAAGGATGGGGGTTGGGAGGAAGGGGGGATGAGAAGGAAGAAAATAAATTTCTTTCTCATTTTTTTTTTCTTGTTTTTGACTTTTTGATAATTTATTTAGGATTTGTTTGCACATTTTTAAAAAAAATTAGGAGTTCGGTTGCAAATAGTTCTTTGTTTTTCTTTTGTTTTCTTTTTATTTTATTTAAATAAAAGGTATATTCGTCACTTCACATCTTTTTTAGAAATTGAATGAAGATGACGATTTTCGCAATAAAATGTGTAAATAAGATTGAAAATGCAAAAAAATAAAAAATGCAACATTGTGACGTTTTGTACTAATAACCTTTATAGTTTCATGAGCCTTACCTAAAAGGTGATAATGTTAGGGAAACATCTCTTTTTAGTACAGAATTTGACAAAAATATTTAAAGATATATTATACCAACCAAATCTTTAGCCTGCTAGCTTTTGTTATGCCTAATCAGAGAATTTTACAATTATCACCCATTTATTCTCAATCAAGGGGTAGGATAGAAAGTTAATTTAATCCAGTGGTCACCAGATGTCAAGCACCGAGAGTGCTCCTCTCCTCATATAGCACGACAAGGTCGTCAATAGCTAGACATGTGACCTACTTTATGAAAAAGTGCACTAATAATGTGATCGTATACAAATATTGTTTAATATCATATCTATAAGCGTGTGCGTGTATGCCAATTGTTTGGGTGTTGTCCGCCTAAAAATGAAGAGAAAGCTACCTTGAAGAGTGGAACCTCATAGGCCAAACTTGTGATAAGTGATACGAGGTGTGTAAAGGAAATATTTAGTACAAAATATTTAACAAAATTAAACTATACAATAAACAAGGTTAAATATTGAAACTAGTTGAATAGAAACCATCAAATGGCTCATAAAAGGTTCTTCGTGCTGCTCTATGTAATGTTGTCTGAAGTGCTATCTATTCAGGAATCAAATTATTCGATTTTGTAAGGTAGGCATTGAAAGAAGGAAAAAAAACAAAAGTTGTTCTCCACTACTGGAGGTACCTAAAAAACTGCATCTACATTATCACCAATCCGTAGGATCGTCGTGCACCCAATCATCTTCCCTATCCCACTAATCATGGACACAATAGAGCACTAGTAATGAAGATAAAATAAGGCACAACTCTCGGTCCTACATACGTAGGGTCCGTTTAACATGATTTTTAAAAGAAAAATGCCGAATGTACATAATTGTTCATGCCAGAAGCTTTACAGAAGAGTCACATGGATGTGGGTCCCACTTGATTTAAATTATATTTAAAAAAAGTGGGCCCTACATGTTTGTGTCTTCCGTGCATTTTTTTCGTTCCTGTACTTGTGGTCTCTCTTTTTTTGAAAAGTCAAAAATTACTTCTGAAACTAAGAACCTGCCTTTAAACCTATTTGGATAAATTTCTAGAAATATTTTGTCTGAATATAAAAATTTTTAGAGAAAGCTGGTTAAAAGTAGCTTTCTCATTAAGCTAATAAAAAACAGTAGTCCTACCAAATAGGCCCGAAGCATCCACTAAAACTATCTAATATTTCAATTTAGAAGTTCAAAACATTTTAAAGCTGGAATTCAATCCCAACTTCAAGGCCAAGGACGGATCAGCAAACAAGAACAAGAGAACTTCAAGATTTATTTCACTTTTGAACAATTAATAACAAAAAACACAGTAACATCCTCAATGTTTACTGAACAAGGCCATGGACGGATCAGCAAACAAGAACAAGAGAGAAGAAAGTTATATGGACATCTTTCTGTATAACCCAGATGATAGACACAAAACTCGAATCATACTTTTTACAACTCTGCCCAGTTAACTTGGAGGCATTTTATATTCAACGAGTTCTCTAAGTTGGATCACGACATTTTCCTACAGTTATGGGCACATGCCAAACTCTAGTTAGGGAAATACTCACACTAGTCACCAGTTTTGGGGTGAGGGAGTTGGTTATCACCAAACCCTGAATTCACAAAGCTCTCTTAGGGTTCTAAAACTGCCAAAACAATAAGCTGATAAAGCAACACTATCAAATGTTCGAACATATAACTTCAACAGAATTCATGATCCAAACCCCTTGTAGTTGCAGCTAAGATTTAGATAAAAATAAATCTAGTTATAATTTTGCCATATGGAAATCAGAGCTTGGAAATAGATCTCTAACAGAAAATTTCAATAAGAATTAATTTTCTCCAACTCAAATCTGAAAAGAATACACAATCCACACGAAGACATCGAGTTTCTAAATGTCTCATTATGTATTATGTTTGTTCGTCGAGATATTCAACCAAACAACTAACAAATAGATAACCATTAAGATTTGCAATTATATATATAATACTTCCATAAAGCAACAAATGCTGTGTAACAAGAGCATTCTGAAGCTCCAGATTCCAGAGCATACTTGGACAAATATAGATATTGGCATCTTTAAATAGTCTTGAGCATAATCCATGAGCATGATCAAGCATCAAGAATAAAAATGTGGCACAAAGGGAATAAAACAGATATATAAAAATTGGCAAATGTAATGAATAAATAAAACAGATAGAAACTCAAGTTAATGCTGTAAACACCACACACAGGTTAAAAGCACACGTAAGCTATGAAGCAATACAATTCACAAAGGGCACAAACCAAAACTGAGGAAGCAATATTTCATTAAATGTGGCCTTATGCCGAGAAGGAAATGTGAAACTAATCCGTCGAATAATCAAGTTTATCAATTGATAGAAAAGGAGCACCAAAAGGCTTCCCCTGTTACATTAATAATCCAAAACTCCCCCAACTTAGTACTAAAATTTTCTTGGCCAATATCTAAATAATCCAACGTGTTAATTAAACTAAAAACCCATTTCTCAAGTCAGTGTAACAAAAAGAATCTACCTCCAATTCATTTCCTATCTTAGTCTTCACGGTGATGCCTTCCACACCAGCAACAATCAACGAGGTGGCCAATCCAAGAAACATCCCGTGCTCAACAATTCCTGGAAGCCTCAAAATCAAATCACTGGCTTCATTCAAATCCCCCATGTCCTTCTCGAAATACAAGTCAATAATATAATTCCCATTATCAGTCTCAAATGCCTTCCCAGTCTCGGCGCACTTCCTCAGCTCCCCCACACAGCCTGCATACGCAAACAAACTCACAAGCCTCTTCAAAGAATGATTCCAACAAAAGGGAATAACCTCCACCGGCATGGCCAACCTACTACCCCCAACATAATTCACCAATTTGGATTCATCAACTATTACAATGAATTTCTTGCTAGCTGATTCCACCATTTTCTCCCTCAACAACGACCCTCCACGCCCTTTAACCAAATTCAATCCAGGGTCCACCTCATCCGCTCCATCAATTGTTAAATCCACAATATGGTGGGAATCAAGATCGGATAAAGGGATCCCCAATGAAACAGCCTGTTCATGAGTCTTTTTCGATGTGGGTATCCCAATAATGTCTTTAAGCTTTCCCTGGCGCATGAGCTCGGCGATGCGGTCAACAGCATGCTTCGCGGTGGAGCCCGTTCCAAGCCCAACAACCATGCCGGATTTCACATGCTCCACGGCCTTATAAGCTGCGATTTTTTTCAAATCATCCTGGGTAAGGGTTACAGACGGGCAAGGAGCGGCAGGGGAGACCATTAATGTTGGTTGCTCAACGGTTGCGTGATTTTCAGATACCAAAAAATGTGGGTATGCTACAGCCATGGTCGTTCAACCCAATCTTAATTATAGTCAAATATAATGAACAAAAAAATTGATAACAAATGAACAAAAAATATGATATCTTTAGAGATAAGAAATTAGAGGCTATAACATGTTTATGGAAAATATCCCAGAAACGAGGGTATATATAGCACAAAATTCTTATATAGAACTGGAAAATAAAAGATAATATCGGGAAAGAAGAGATTTTAATGAATAAAGACAAAATGGAAATGAATAAAAGGAAAATTATAAGGTCGGGATTGTGCGGTGTGATAGTACGAGGACAATTTGCACTAGGGTTTGGATGAATTTATAGAAACTGGTGGTGGCCGGGTGCGTTGGGATGGAGGAAACGCGGAGGAAAGGGGTTTAAAGTTGGACGGTGGAGGCTTGATTTTATTTTATTTTTGGAAGAATGGAAATCTCCGAGAGTCGTGCTTCTTGTACAGTTTTTTTTTACGACTTTATACTTTGACTGACTGACATTACATTTATCTATTTTAAAAATTATTTTTTAAATCAATGGTATAGATCTTGACAACTCGTTAGTTGTAACTGTCAAACTAGTTGTACAACTAGATTAACACAATTCTAAAAGCAATAAAACATGCGGGCATTGCTAGTTGTATATAATTTGGATTACATAAGAGTATTCATCAACTTACATAGGGATGAGACCCACTTAAAGCAAATATTTTTTATTCACGAGGGTCACACCCCCATTTGAGGAGATTGATACCCTTATGTAACCTAAATTATGTACACTTAGAAATATTCAAAACTTGTATAACTATTTAACATGCCAACAATTAGCCACAGTTTGTCCACATTAAATTATAATTCATTTTTCTTATTTTTTATCAACTTTACATACTTTAATGAAATAATATTACACGTAAATCAAAAAAATTCCTTCTATTTTAACTATGTGTTCTTAAAAAAATGTTTTATGGGAATTGAATTAGGGCCTCAAGAAAAAGGGGAAAGAGAAAAAGTCATTTGAAACATGGCTCAACTTGGAAACATTAATCTGCAAAATGTTGTCAATGCAGCTGTCAATTTTCTCTTATAATTTATTAATAATCAAAGCTTAATGTTGTTAAATCCGTTCGCCCACAAACGAGTCGAGTTGGTACGAGTTAAATAGAGAAAACCTCGTGCAAGTTGTTTGTTGACTTGCATGAGTTGACTCACGAGACAGCTCATCATTTGGGAGTAAAAATGCAGTTGTTGATTGAAAAACATATGACCCGCGAAGTGGCTCGTCTAGCTATATCAACAAACTGAATCGAGCTGAACCCGAGCAAAAAAAAAGGCTCGGGCTCGGCTCGAGCTTTTTTAGGCCGATCTTTTTTGGGCCCAACCGAGTCAAGTAAAGCCCTACCAAAAAAATGAAGCTAGGCCCGAGCCTTAGCGGACCAAGCGGAGCCGGCTAGAATTTTTTTGTTTTTTTTATTTTAAAAAAAAAATTTATTGCTGCCTTTGTAGGCAGCTAAAAATAGCTGCATGCAACAGGCAGCTGAGCAGCTACCTAAAAATAGATGCCTGCAAATGCAACTCTTCAAAAAAAAATAACAATAAATTTTTTTTTTAAATGGGAGGCTCGCCAAGGCCAAGGGTTGGCCCGGACTCCGCCCGAACCGACTAGCTTTTTGGCCATCACTAGGCTTGTCCCATCAAGGGGCTAGTTGGTTGGACAAGTCATGCAGGATTTTTGGAAACGATCCAGCTTACACTATCTACTCTCATTTTTGTTTGGAAAAAAAAAAAAAAATTCTTAAATAGCATTTTTGGAGTAAATTATTTACTTAAACATTTACAGTTTTCGCTAATTCTTCAATTCTATTCTACAAATAAAACAGTTTAAGAAAATTTGGCTCAAATCGCACGGTAGAACCAGAAAAATAGAGAATTAAATTTTCTCTTATAATTTATTAATAGTTAAAGCTTAATGTTGTTAAATCCGTTCGCCCACAAACGAGTCGAGTTGGTACGAGTTAAATAGAGAAAACCTCGTGCAAGTTGTTTGTTGACTTGCATGAGTTGACTCACGAGACAGCTTATCATTTGGGAGTAAAAATGCAGTTGTCGATTGAAAAACATATGAGCCGCGAAGTGGCTCGTCTCGCTATATCAACGAACCGAATTGAGCCGAGCCCGAGCAAAAAAAAAAGGCTCGGGCTCAGCTTGAGCTTTTTTAGGCCGATCTTTTTTGGGCCCAACCGAGTCGAGTAAAGCCTTATCAAAAAAATGAAGCTCGGCCCGAGCCTTAGTGGACCAAGCGGAGCCGGCTAGAATTTTTTTGTTTTTTTTATTTAAAAAAAAAATTATTGCTGCCTTTGTAGGCAGCTAAAAATAGCTACATGCAAAGGCAGCTTGCTGCCTGCAACAGGCAGCTGAGCAGCTACCTAAAAATAGATGCCTGCAAATGCAGCTCTTCAAAAAAAAAAAAAAATTAAATTTTTTTTTTTAAATGGGAGGCTTGCCAAGGCCAAGGGTCGGCCCGGACTCCGCCCGGACCAACTAGCTTTTTGGCCATCACTAGGCTCGTCCCATCAAGGGGCTAGTTGGTTGGACAAGTCATGCAGGATTTTTGGAAACGATCCAGCTTACACTATCTACTCTCATTTTTGTTTGGAAAAAAAAAAAAAAAAATCTTAAATAGCATTTTTGGAGTAAATTATTTACTTAAACATTTACAGTTTTCGCTAATTCTTCAATTCTATTCTACAAATTAAACAGTTTAAGAAAATTTGGCTCAAATCGCATGGTAGAACCAGAAAAATAGAGAATTGGACTTAAATTTGTTCTCATTATACACAATAAATAAATAAATAAATAAAATTGTATTATAGCTGATTATTGTAATGTTTTTTGGATTATATTTAATTAATTAATTTTTATCTCATAGTTGCCTCTAATTTGAATTCTGACTGATTATTTGACCAAATTGTATCCTTTTCAAGTTTAATGCTTCGATGTGTTAAGAATTGGGGTTCCATCTTAAAATGTCAACATTTTTAAGAGGAGTAGCTCTACTCTTATAAAGTGGTTTATATTTTTCATTTATTCGATATGGAATTCTATCTCTTAACATGCCCCCACAAGATGGTGGTTCGTTTGAGCAGATCTATCTTGAAATTCGTAAGCTCATTTTTGGAGTCTTAAACGGATCGAATTGCTCGTTAAAACTTAACGGACTCTGATATCATATGGCTGGGTGATGCCGGTTCTTTTCTGCTGATGGCGTGGGTTTGGACCTGGGTTTAGGGTTCTTTTCTGCTGATGGCGTGGGTTTGGACCTGGGTTTCAGAAGTTCTTCTATTGCTGTGGCGTTCTCTGGGTTCGGGTGAGTAGGTCCTCCTTTTCCAGCGAGCTCCTGTCCTTGCTCAGGTGGGTTCTCAGCTACTATTTTCAAGCCCCTGCCGTTGTGAGGATTTGGTGATCGGTTGGAGGGATTCGGTGTTGCTGGCTCTGCTTCGGTTATGTCTCCTTCCTTCCAAGACAGCTTCCATCTTCATTGGCCGGATTCCATTCCTTTTTTTTCCTGTTTTTGTTGTCTCTGTTTTCTTGTTGGTTGTTGTATGTTCTTTGCATTGGGCGCACTGAATCTCTCTGAGGAGAGCATGGTGTAGGAGATTTCTCTCCTTGTATCCAGCTTCATGCTGTTTGAAATATATGGTTGTTTTCTTCAAAAGAAAAAAAAAAAAAAACACTATGCTTGTCCTATTTGATAGAGCCGTGTGAATGGAATGCATTGAAAGTTGTAAAGAAAGCATGGATATTGCTTTTATAACGATTCTCCGCATTTTTCTTGTGTAGGTCCCATAATATTATTATAGATTTTATAAGATTTCTTCATCATAATATTATGAAATTTTCTACAGAAATTTTTTTTTTGCCAGAAACCATACAAATGCTCACATGGGGTGCGCCCCACGTGAATTAAATATTATCAAAAAAATGGAGTCCACCCCAAGGTGTGTATTTTGTATAGTTTCTATTTTTTTTCTTTTGTACATATAGAAGTGTTCTAATATTATATACTTGACTCAGTTTGGTGGGGATTAAATTTTTTTAATAAATTTTGATAAAAATTAATAAAGTGTGTGATTGAAAAGTTACGGTCACGTAGAATATATGATTAAAATTAATGATTGACTTTGAATTAAATTAAAATTTTAATTTTAATTTCCAGAGCCAAGAGTATAAGTAGGCAAGTTGGATTTTGTTTCTTGAGACTAATATGAAATTATCAGATTGAGTTATTGCATTTATTATTTAATAGTCTCTGCTCTTCAAATAATTTATTTGTACTCTCTGCATTTTGAAATAAAATATTTATCTATTTTTCAATAAATTATTTGTATTAATTTGAATTTACATTTGTTCATTGATTATTTCGACGTCATAAATCGAGTACTTAAATGGTTAAGCATGTTAAGAATGAATCAAATATCTAAAATATGTGTTGACCTACAACTGTATCAGACTAGAACTCTTATTTTCCTCCTTTGACGGGTCAAAAAAAAATTTTGATTTGAATGTTAAGACTTATTGAGTTGTAAACTTGTATATGTTCAACAAAAGAGTAGGTCTGGTATAAGAACAAACGAGATTAGAATTAGGAGAAAAAGTCCAATTCAGACTCTCCATTGACCACGTAGGCGGCCATTGCACTTTCCTGTCCATGCATTTTACAGGCAAATCACGCTCTTAGACTATATTTTGAAGGAGACAACATTTCTCAACGGTTGCAAAACAAACAAGATATCAGAATATCTCTAATACCACTTGTTGTGAAATAAATCATTGAATTGAGATGTTGAAATTATATGACAAATAATAATGAAATATATGATCAAGTAAAAATAATAATAAAGATAAGAATACATTAGAGGAATGAAGAGATTTTATCAACTCAAAAATAATGGGGAAGAAAGAAAATTACAATGGATTCTATAATTCTAGTAATATTTTTCTAATACTTATTAAATTGT